CATTTCTAGCACCTAGAACCTGGTTTCTGAATAGCTTTCTCCAGTGCAAGTACACAAGGCTCTTAGAGATCTAGAAGGACCCCAGGACTGAGACAGGAAAAGTGCAAGATGTAACTGGAGCTTTCCGTGGCTCCAGAAAATAAAGAAGTGCTGGGGGGGAGGGGGGCAGAGAGAGACAGTATGTGTGTGTGTGTGTGTGTGTGTGTGTGTGTGTGTGTGTGTGTGTGTGTGTGTGAGAGAGAGAGAGAGAGAGAGAGAGAGAGAGAGAGAGAGAAGGGAGTTCAGGATCCCATATGGAAGAGCTCTCAATGGCCAAAACTGAAACAACTTGAGCAACAGAATAACTATTGTCCTGAATTAAACCTCAAATTAAAAAAAAAAAAAAAAAAGAAGAAGAATCAATACACTTATAAATAACTGAGTAAACAAGTGGGGAGTAGAGATAGCTCTTCCTGATAGAGAATTTCAATTCAAAAATGTTGATAGAATGAGGGAAATAGAAAATCACCACTAAGGCACCATAGTAGCTGCAGACGAGATCCATTGACCGATGTTAAAATTAGGGGGCAGGAGTTAAACAGAAAAAGGGTATTTGTATAGTCTAGAAGTAGCTCTCCCTAAATCTTCAGTAATCAGCACGGGGAAAATAGTTACTTTACAGGGAATAATTCTGGCAGATACCACTTTAACCATGTGATTAAGGTTAACATGACCGCTAATACCACTAATGCCCATGGACATTGTATGTCTAGAAATCGTGCACCGAAGACAGCACGTCACCTCTGTGGTATTTTTCCTGATAATACATGACTTCAATCTAAAAATAAGAAAACACCAGACAAGCCCAATTTGAGAGCCATTCTACAAAATAACTGACAAATATCCTTGTCAAAGACAGGGAAAGACTGAAGAACTGTTAAAATTTAAAGAGACTGAAGAGATACAAGAAGGCAATGTGAAATCTTAAATCTTGGAACAGAAGAGGGACATTAGTGACAAAAAGATGAAATTCAAAGAAATTCTATGGTTTAATGATATTTCCTCAAGGCTAATTTATTATTGATGATAATTATGATTCTGTACAATATTAACATAAGGAAAAGCTGGATAAAAGGCATACTGTTTTTGGATGTATTATATATGACTAAATTATCTCAAAAAAAGACAGTGTGCTTCTAGTTAAGCTGGTACAATAAGAACATTCAACAACCGTTCTCATCACTCTAAGCCTATTAAAATGAGAGGTAAAATATAAAAATTACACAAATTGTAACATCAACTTCCCAAAATATAAAAATCTCCTCCTGGATCAAAGCTAGAAAAGAGAAGTGGTTAAGAGGGCTGAACCATAGGCCTACTGAGCTCTGAGTCTAGAAATAGGTCTAGGTGGCTAACACAGGGTCATGGGAAAGAGTAATGCTTCATATGAATAAGGCAATGAATCCAGTCAGTGAAATAAGGAAGCAGAGAAAAGAGATAAAAAGATTATTTTTAAAAATTTTACTTATTAGAGAGAGAGAGAAAGTGAGAGAGATTGAATTCCAAGCAGGCTCCATGCTGTCAGCATGCAGCCCCATGTTGTGCTTGATGTCATGAACCATGAGATAATGAGCTGAAATCAAGAGTCAGATGCTTAAATAACTGTGCCATCCAGGCGTCCCTAGGCTGAATTCTTTAACAGCCACTCTAAACCCTTTCTCCTTAACTTTCTTTTCTACTAGTTGTATAATTTTATATAAGAATATTTGAATTTTCAGACTCCTTTAAAGCTAGATTATGATGCCTTTCTAGTCATTGATGTGGAAGTGTTAGTTATGGCTGAATGGTTTTTGGCCCAAACAATCTTGTTAAAGGAAAATCGTTGGGACAATTCTATTATTTCTCCCTGAAAAAGTACCATGCTATCTGGAGGTGCAGTTGTTGTCTAGGAACCATAAGGATGAAACCACACATCATGGATGACAGAGCATGAAGATGGATAGAACCAGCTTTCTAGATGACATTGTGGGCTTTATACCAGTGGTGGTTTAAAAACCAGAGGTGGTTGCCTCCATACATCTTGTTATGTGAGAAAAACAAACCCTTCAGTTGTTTCAGTTGTTTTCTTCTTCATTCACAGCAAAATGCAATTTATTTTACTTTTTTTCTTTTTTAGAGAGAAAAAGAGTGAGCAGGGGAGGGAGCAGGGTGGCGGGAGAGAGAGAGAGAGAGAGAGAGAGGGAGGGAGAGAGAGGGAGGGAGAATCTTAAGCAGGTTTCATTCTCGGAGCCTGATGTGGGGTTTGATCCTATGACACTGAGATCGTGACTTGAGCTGAAATTAAGAGTTAGACACTCAACTGACTGAGCCACCCAGGTGTCCCTCACAGCAAAATGAAATTTTAACCATGTCAGAGAAAAGCTAAAATTATGCTATTCAAGATGAGTATGCCAGTATAATTTTAAAGCATGGGAATAGAATGAATCATTTAAAAATGAGTAAAAACATATCATAAAAATATGACTTCACCCTAGAAAGGATTTAAAAAATGAGCAACTTGAAAATATCTTTAGAATAAGAATGTTTAGAGTTTGAAGTGGTGACTGAAGGAATAACATCCATGAAATAGAACAAGAATTCATGAAAGAAAAGATACAGAATTATGGATGGAACTAAAGAGTATTATGCTAAGTGAAATAAGTCCATCAGAGACAAATATCATATGACTTCACTCATATGTGAAATTTAAGAAACAAAACAGATGAACATAAGGGAAGGAAAAATAGGATAAAAAACTATAGAGACTTTTAAATTAAGAGAACAAACAGGGTTGCTGGAGGAGAGGTGAAGGGGGAATGGGCTAAATGGGTGATTGGCATTAAGGAGGGCAGTTGTTGGGATGAGCACTGGGTGTTAGATGTGAGTGATAAATCACTGGGTTTTACTCCTGAAACCAATACTACACTGTATGTTAACTAACTTGAATTTAATAAATAAATAAATGAATAAATAAATACAGAACTAAAATAAGAACCAATAGGGTTAATGAAAAAAAATTTTTAAATCATGCAGAAATGTATATGTATCCTTAGCAAACTAGAATTAAAGGGACATTAATATCATAAAAGATACCTAAGAAAACATCAAACAAAATGAAGCACTTCATACAGATATTAGTTTTGAGGACATGGATCTAGAAATTCAATTTAATTTGAGGACTTATAGGAGCAATCAACTTAATAAATTTATATCAAAGAATTAGGGTCAACAATAAATGAAAATTTTGAAGAAAAATAAGAAATTGTAGCAGCATCACTTATGAAGTATCAATATTTATTTAAAGTTAATTCTAAAGAACAGTACCTTAGCTGGGTTTAGTATTTGTGTTTAATTTCCTGTTTATTAATTTAGTAATATTGTTTAGTATTGTTGCAGGGTTATAGACAAGAACAGGTACATATATTTATGAAAACTTAGCAAATGATAGACATGCCAAAACAGATTAGTTTTTAAGTAATGAACATGTTAATAAATGTTGCTATGTAGTTGGCTCTCCAGATGGGAAAAATAAAATAAAATTAGATTCCTGCCTTATGTCATAAATATGCAAAATAATTCTAGTGTCATTAAATACTAAAATATAAAAAGCAAGATGTTAGCATTGAATTTTAAAGAAAATACCACCTAATATTTTTATAGGTTCAGAATGATGAAGTGTTTCCTGAACAAGTTTCCAAAACAAAACCGTGTGTCACTATCATAGGTCATTGGTTGAGCAGAGAGCAAAAATATAGCTTTGGTAAAAGGAATTGATAAAAGTTTGTATTCAACTGCTACAGATCAAACCCCAGGCAGAGATAATAAGATCAAAATCACAAAAATGCATATATATTTGGTTAATAAATGCAAATATTTAGGCAGTTCTTGTCTACCTTACTCTACCAAAATGGCTGTCCAAGTGGATACTGGACTAGGATGGAATCATGAAAATCATAAACATATATTGTATCTTTGGTTATGTACAGGCATACCTTTTTTTTTTTTTCTTTACTGTTCTTTCTTGTGCTTTGCAGGTATTACAGGTGAAGAATATAAGAAAAATTTAAGAAAACAAAGTAAAATATGGGGGCATATCTAATTTTTGAAAATCCATTCTAGTTTTTAATAGAATTTAACACATTTTTTAAGCAACAGAAAAATATTAGAAAAAGCTAAATATACAACAGGAGAATAGTAGATAAAAACTTCTGCATTCATACATTGAGTCAAGTATTAATTGAATTAATCCATTAACTCTAGCGGTGTTCAATAGGGATTTGGTTAAATACGAGCATACCTCTTTTTTTGTGCTTTGCAGATAATTTTTTTTTTTTTTTACACATTGAAAAGTTTATGGCAATCCTGCATCAAGCAAGTCATTTGATGCCATTTTTCCAACCACACATTTGCTCATTTAATGTCTCTGTGTCACATTTTGGTAATTCTCACAATGTCTGAAACTTTTTCATCATTATTATATTTGTTATGATGATCTGTGATCAGTGCTTTTTGATGTTACTATTGTAATTGTTTTGGGGCACAATGAACTGCACCCGAATAAGACAGTGAACTTAACAGTAATATTGAAATTAGGCCAGTTAATAACACTACAATGGCATAGAAGCATTCAAATGAAACTCGAAAAGTTTCATGTCTCTCACTTGAAATCAAAGGCTAGAAATGACTAAACCTAAGGGAGGAAGGCATGTTGAAATCTGAGATTGGCTGAAAGCTATGCTTTTTGTGTCAAACAGTTAAACTAACTTATGAATACAAAGGAAAAGTTGTTGAAGGAAATTAGAAGTGGTACTCCAGTGAACACATAAATGATAAGAATGTGAAACAGTCTCAGGGCACCTGGGTGGCTTAGTCGGTTGGGTGTCCGACTTTGGCTCAGGTCATGATCTCACAGCTCGTGGGTTCAAGCCCCACGTTGGGCTTTGTGCTGATAGCTCAGGACCTGGAGCCTGCTTCGGATTCTGTGTCTCACTCTCTCTCTGCCCCTCCCTGCTCACACTCTGTGTCTCTCTGTCTCTCAAAAATAAATAAACATTAAAAAAAAAAAAGAAAGTGAAACAGTCTTATTGCTGAGATGGAGAAAATTTAAATAGTCTGGATAGAAGATCAGACCAACCACAACATTCTCTTAAACTAAAGCCTAATTTAGAGCAAGGCCCTAACTCTCTTTAAGGCTATGAAAGGTGAGAGAAGTGAAAATTTTGAAGCTAGGAGAGGTTGACTCTTAAAGTTTAAGGAAAGAAGCCTTCTCTATAACGTAAAAGTGCAAAGTGAGGCAGCAAATGCTTATGTAGAAGCTGCAGCAGGTTATCCAGAAGATGTAGTTAAGACCATTAGTGAAGGCAGCTATGCTAGAAAACAGATTTCAAGTGTACACAAAATAGCCTTACATTGGAAGAAGGTACCATCTAGGACTTTCATAGCTAGTGGGGAGAAGTCAATGGCTGGCTTCAAATATTCAAAGGACAAGTTCACTTTCTTCTTAGGATTAATGCAGTCGGTGACTTTCATTTGAAGCCAATGTTCATTTACCATTTAAAAAATCCTAGGGTCTTTAAGAATTATGCTAAATCTACTCTGTGCTCTACAATCCTAGATGACAGTGCATCTATTTGCAACATGGTTTACTGAATATTTTAAGCCCACTCTTGAGACCTACTGCTCAGAAAAAAAGATTCCTTTCAAAATATTACTGCTTAATGACAATGTACCCAGTTATCCAAGAGCTCTGATGGAAATATACAAGATTAATGTTGTTTTCATGCTTATTGACACAACATACATTCCGCAGCCCATAGATCAAGGGGTAATTTTGACTTTCAAGTTTTATTGTGTTAAGAAATATGTTTTGTAAGGCTTTGGCTACCATAGATAGCAATTCCTCCCAGGGATCTGGGCAAAGTCAATTGAACACCCTCCTTAAATGGTTCATCATCCTAGATGCCAGAAAGAAAATTCATAATTCATGGGAAGATGTAAAAACATCTAATTTAACAGCAGTTGGAAACAGTTGTTTCTAATCCTCATGGATGACTTCGAAGGATTTCAGCTTCAGTGGAAGAAGTAACTGCAGATGTGGTGGAAACAACGAGAGAATGAGAATTAGAAGAGGAGCCTGAAGAGGTGACTGAATTTCTGCAATAAACTGGAACAGATGAGGAGTTGCTTCTTTTGGATGAGCAAAGGAAAGTGGTTTCTTAAGATGGAATCTACTCCTGGTGAAGATGCTGCGAAGATTGTTGAAATAACAACAGAGGACTTAAAATATTATGTAAACTTAGTCGATAAAGCAGTGGCAGAGTTTGAGAGGATTGACTCCGATTATGAAAGAAGTTCTACTGTAAGTAAAGTGCTGTCAAACTGCATGGCATGCTACAGAGAAATCGTTGGTGAAAGGAAATCAATCAATGCAGCAAACTTTGTTGTTGTCTTAAAAAATTGCCACAGCCACTGCGGCCTTCAGCAACCACCACTCTGATCAATTAGTAGCCATCAACACAGACACAAGACCCTCCTCCAGCAAAAAGATTGACTTGCTGAAAGCTCAGATGATGGTTAGCATTTTTTAGCAATAACGTATTTTTACATTAAATTATGTACATTGCTTTTTTAGACATAATATTGCACACTTAATATACTACAGTATAGTATATACAAAACTTTTATATACACTGGGAAACCAAGAAATTCATTTGACTCACCTTATTGTGACATTTGCTTTATTGTAATATTTGCTTTATTATGGAAATTAATCTGTATATTTAAATATATCCAAATTAAATAGCAATAAGATTCTTGGATACAGACAAGTTGTTTCTTACTTTCAAAATCACAAAAATCATTAGGAAAATGTTAAAAAAGTATGAGAGGGGATCAACTTTATGAGAAACTGAAAAATATTATGTAACTATGGCCATCTTATTATATGCAGACACACAAAAAAATAGAACAAAATAGAGAATTTAGGTATTGAACTTAATTGTTCAGTTCAGAATTAAAATGGTATTCCACATTGATTGGAAAAGAAGTATCATGTAATAAATAGAACTGGGATAATGGGCTACCTGTAAGAGAAAAAAACTTGAATTCTAACATCTTCTCTTACAGGGAGATAAATTTCAGATGACCCACAATTATAGTAAAAAAAAATATGAAGCCACAAAATACATAATGGAAAACATATGATACTATTTATGGTCTTAAAGTGGTTCTCTAAACACAGAAATAAACTTAACAGTCAAAAGAAAAAAGTGACTGATGGGAGTGTGCAAAAATTAAAATTGTGGATGTATAGAAGAAGACTAAAATCCTGTCCAAATAAAAAACATGAGCTATTTTATTCACTTTTATATTAATGAAAGTCCATAAATCGACAAACTCCTGAAAAAATTATGTGTAGAGGACAATTTAGCAATAGAAAATGCATTGATTTTTATATATGTAAAAATATACTCAAAAATATGCTCAAACTCAGTCATAATAAGAAAAAAAATTAAAATAACACCACACCGTATTGATGAGAATTTTTGGAAGCACTCATTCTCATACATTGTTGTAGAGAATTTAAATTGGAACAATCTCTTGAGAGTATAATTTGGCAAAATGCATCAATGTAAAAATATGTGTGCCCTTCAGTTCAGCAAGTCTACTCTAGAAATTTATCCAACAGTTATACTTGCATATGTGAACAAAAAATGAATATATACATGTAGTCAGTATATTCACTGCAGAATTGTTTGTCTTATCAAAATAACGTGAACAACCTAGATGTCCATTATTAGGTAGCTAGTCAAGTAAACTGTGGTAATATTTGTGCAATGACATGTCATGTGGTATAAGTAAAAGTATTTTCTATGGGACTGAATGATGTTTGAGACATTGTTTAGTGAGGGGCACAAGGTAGAAAAACATTAGGCCTTATTATCTGGTGTGCACTGTTCCCAGTACTAGGGAATTTAAATATTGAAAAGCAAGCGTTCCTGCCCTCAAGTAGCTTTCATTCTAATAGTGGAAGATAAGCAACAAAAATGTAAATAAATCAATTAATTTAGAAGATAATCTCAAATAATGAGAATTTCTGTAGAAAAGATAGAAGAGAAAAATTCAGTAAAGTGTAACCAGAAGTGGGTATGGGTGCTGCTTTGATAGGGGACAGGGAGTGGAAGGGTACAGTGGGGAGGTGGGGTGGGCATAAATGTTTTATCTAAAGTTTTGGAATAACATTTTGATTAAGTACAGTAAGATGACTATATATTCTAAATATTCTAGAGTATTTAGTTTAAACTTAATATTTAGTTTAAACTTAAATTAAATATTCTAGAATATATTCTAAATATTCTAGATATTCTATATATTCTAAATATTCTAGAGTATTTAGTTTAAACTTAATATTTAGTTTAAACTTAATATTAAATTAAATATTCTAGAATATATTCTAGAATATATGTCTTAGACTTATATCTTTAGAAACTTGCACAGAAATATGCTACTTGCATTTATTAAAAATCAGGTTCTATATCCATATTGATTAATATATATTTTCACAAATTACCTATAGAAAGATAATCAACGAGTAACAGTGATTGTCTCTCAGAAAATCAAGGACTGGGGTATGAGAAATAGACTTTTCCTTACAGTCTCATTTGCAACATTTCTATTACTTTGAAATCATATTACATATATTATCTATTGAAATAAATATGTAAATACATATCTAGTTAGAAATCTAATGTGACTTCAGCTCTTATGTGTTGGTGATAATTGGGTGTAATTTTAAGATATTAACAATTTTAGTAATGTACAAAAAAGAGAAGTATCTGTGTTCATGTGACAGTTTTAGAGTTGGGTGAAAATGCCTTTTGGAAAAATCCATGACACAAAATTTCACATAAAATCTTTCTTCATACTGAAACATTATTTTTGGAGTAATCTTTTTTGAAAGTGGAAATGTATGTGGATATCAGAAAAATTGAAATTGTATCTAAATTTGGAAATCACTGTTTGTGGTGTATTCTTTGTCCATTTTTATTTTATTTAGTGAGTTTAATGGGATAGATGGATGAGCATTAACAAGGCCATAACAGAGAATAGGCTTGATGTCTCACATTCTCTCTTCATGCGCATGCACAATACTACAGTGTTAGAGGGGCCTCCAGCAATTTTATTGAAGGGTTTTGTTGTTTGCAAGTTGATAGAATCAGTGATAAGGAAGAGTGATTTGTTTCCTCCCAAACTATTTCATACTTTAAAGCATTTTAGTCATAATCTTCAAGTATAGAAAATCATGTTTCTGGTTATTATCATCCTCTGGGTATGCCCATTAGGGCCTAAATATATAATGGTTTATGTATTTTTCACATGATTTCAAAATACAAATACATACATTTAATTCTGCAGAGACCTTAATGTGTAGATTGTTTGTCTCTCCTCAATGATGGTTTTATACTTATCCAGAGTCTTAGGTATAAAGATGTCTGGGAAGCATATGTTATAAATTGTAGGTTTTTAAATATATATATATATATATATATATATATATATATATAATTACTGTTTTGAGAGGGAACAGAACATGAGATAAATTCATTCCTTATACTATTTTTCTTGGATGAAATTTTAGCAGACTGGTGAAAATGTCTATTATAGAATTTATTGGCACATAAACAATTTGCCATAGAAGTCTTCCTGAAATCTTCCTTCTCAAATTCACCATGAAGGTCTCGGTTTTAATTTCAGATATTTCACTACTAAAATATTCTCTTAGGATAACTCTCATTTCAAAGCTGGACTCCAAGTGAAACTTTAAAGTGAGTCTGATCATAAGGCTAAATATATTTATTGTTAAAAATATTCTGATACAATTAGCAATAACTATCGAGAGTTTATAAAGTAAGGCTATACAGGTGTAAATTTATTTTATATTCTGTGCCATAAAGTGTGGCACTTGTCTCTGTTTAATTGTTACGTTTATTTATTTCATTTGAGAGATCCTTAAATGTTTTATTGAAGTA